GGGGGGGGGGGGGGGGGGGGGGGATAGTTGGACAATTACGTCGCAATGGGCTTGTAAAGGAAACAAATTGTTCTTTTCTCTTCTTATGATATTTTAAGTTATATTTTAATACGTTGAGTTGGGTACATAAATATTCGAAAATATTTGGAAATCTATGGTAGTAGTATCTAATGAATATTTTAAAAAAATTATTTTCCAATTTTTTTTTACTATATGGATAATATATGCAATAATAATCATTCGTGGATACTAAAATCATATATATGGAATATAATTTTTCTAAATATTATAAAAAAATGGCAAAAAATTATAATTAATATCTGAAAATGTTGGCTCTCGTAAAGTTTTCCCACCCATTGTATTTTGAATATAAATAATAATATTTAGGTAAATTACTTTTCAAATGCAAGTGTATTTATTTAGAATTTTCCACATATATATTCTATATTTTCAATTTGTCCTATTGAAATAATAATCTCTAGGTAAATTAATTTTCAAATGCAACTTTATTTATTTTTTAGACTTTCCCATAAACATTCTGTATTTTCAATTTGTCATATTGTAGCAATTCTAAAAAAACACGACAAATAGAAGTTCTAATACCGGGAAACTTCTACTCTCACAATTTCACCCCAAAGCTTTTGAAAGGATCAGATCAAGCCTATACGTTTTAATATAAAATTGATTTAGATTTAATTATTTGATATTAGTTCTGATTCAATTTATTTTTTTATACCTGAATTATAATCAATTTCTATTAATATTATTATTTAATAAAAAAATAATTTCAAAACGAATATATATCTAAAATATCATTTTTTTATTGAATTTAGAAAAATGACCAATCGAGAGGTTTTTCCCATGATTATTTATTTAGCTCGAAAAAAACGTATGAGCCCAAAGGCCCATTAATATAAGTCCATAAAATTATTAGCAGATCGGTTCACTTCCTGTCAATCTGTCATCATACAAATTATTATAATTAAATGAAATTTGGTTAGCCTATTTTAAATGTGCCTTGTTGAAAAAAAAAACATAAATTCAGTGTTTCTGTTATAATATTGGGTAATTATTTATGAGCGCATAGAATTGTATTCCTAAGTTAAACGAATATTTATATTTCCCCTTCTCCAACATTTTATATTATAGTTAAAACATTAGTAGTTTATGTCTACCAATACACTAACAATTTCCATGCAAACCCATTGTCAACTAAACCATTTCCGTTGTTTTGTCCTTTTGTCCCCTCTAAAATAAATTAACTCACCCAACCAACCAATTACTTGCATTTTTTTTAAAACTCGAATTCGTATAAATCCATCCAAAAGTCAAACACGAAATCCATAAATTTTAAATAAAATATATTATTTTTATAACAAATCCATCGTCCTCTATATTTTTTATTTAACACAAAACTTAATATAGTTTAAAACGCTTCATCCTAATTCTTATAATCGGTCTATGTTTGTTTGAGATTATTACCAAAAAAATGTTTATTTGAAATTGCTGTCACAGTTAAGAAATTTTTCAAGAAATATAATAAATTCGATCAACTTTGCAAAATTTTATTTCTCAAAAAATCAATTTGTAAGACCAAAAAAGAAAATGAAAAAAAAAATCATACAACTAGCACAATTATTCTTTAAAAAGTAATAAAAAGACGAAATACAAATTTACGTTCTTACAGTCAAATGTGAGAATCTGACCAATGAAAGCCAAAGCGGCCAGCCAATGTTGAGTCGATTGACCACTTCTTCCTCCTCACACGTCTTCCCCTCCATTAAAACGGCTCACGTCGCCCTTGCCACGTGTCACTTTCCTATTATTTAAGACGTGGACCCACCTACTTTTTTGTGTCCTATTTTGCCCTACTTCTTCAACTTAATTACCATCTCTGCCCAGAAGAAAATCAATAAAAATACACAACAACAAAAGTAAGAAAAAAAAAGGAAAATAGTCCATTTTTATCTGGATATGATCACGGTGGGGTTATTCTTTTTCCATTTTTTTTTATGAAATTATTTATTTCCAACATGATAAAATCTTTAATTAAATATGCCTACATCAAATAAAATTTTAAAGGTACAGTAATGTTTAAATTTTATAATCGGCAATTTTTTTATGGACGAAATTATTACTGGAATTTAGATATCAAGTGGGGGCTGTTGTTGGTAGGGGGAAAGAGAACAGGGTTATGGTTATCGGGCCGGTGAGATGTGGCATTTCCGTGAATATGAAGGAAGAAGAAGGGTAGTTAGGGAAGGTGTGGTGATAAATCATGCAAAGAGAGGGTTGGACCCATGACACGACACATCAGACAAAGAGCCTTCGGTTCCTACTACCTCACGCGGCCTCCTCTTTTTAAAATTTCTTATTTCTTTTATAATATATATATAATATCGGCGTTGTTAATAATATATTTATTTATTGTCTTTTTTTTTTTTGGTAAAAGGTTTGCTTTTATAATTATTGCCTTGAAAATATATAACATCATACAACCATTGTTATCATGATTTGTAAGTAATCTAATAAATTCCATGATTTATGTTACATAAAAATATTGTGAAAAATAATTAAAGGTGGTGGATAGCTGTAAACGTGTAAAGATAAAGCGACCAGAATTGAACGGTCAGATTTTTGTTTGGATACTGTTGGGAAATAATAAACCCTTTTTATTTTAACTATTTCAATAATTCATAATGTTTTCGAATAATTTAATGTTCATATAATAAGCTCGGACATCGTCATCAACTTGGACTAATAATAATTATTAGACCAAATTTCATGAAATCGGAGAGGATACCAAGTTTTAATTATTCATATTATTACGGGGATTTTATTAAGATCATAAAAATAAATACAGATGAGTAAAAAAATAGTAAATAATTAAGAATTTAGTAAATTAACATTTTTATAAATTGCACTGTTTTTTTTCATATTTATAGATTTATGTCTATTTTAAACATATTTTATTTTATTTTAGGATAGTCGAAATTGGAAATATATAAATAACACAAAAGAGACAGCTAACTTTTTTAAAATGAATATCGAGTACGGCGCGTGTGTCACGCGGAGAGAAGGGAGAGTGGGACTCGAAACTGCCTCCATTCTCTGCCTTCTCTTTCCTATAAAATACTCTTCCTTTTTTCCCCTTCCTCACAAACTTCTCGTTCCAATTGAGCCTTTGGTAATACTTTCTCACGAGTTCCCCTAATATTCCCGAGAAAATCTTCTCACCCTCCTCCGAATTCTGATTTCTCTCTGAATCCGTCTTTCTTCTAAAGCCATGGGAGTCGCAGTTCTTCACCCTCAGGACTTCCTCAAAGATCCTTTCTCAAGAAACGCCTTCGACCCTCACATGAAATATCCCCGTAACCCTAATTCTTGCCCCAACAAGCCAAAAAAATCGCTCCCAAACAACCGCCGCCGCCGGAGTCCGACGCGTCCTCAGGCCGCGAGTTCTCCTCCAGCGGCTCCTCCTCCTCCCTTGTCAGCCAATAAAAGTGAACGATAACCATGTGGTTGTGGGACAGGTGAGAATCCTCAAGCGTGGCGAGGAAATCGCTGCAACGGTAACGGATCCGGTGGCTGTAGATTCAGATCTGGAATCTTCTCGCCGGATCGGGATAGATTCGGAGATGATGCCGACGCAGATCCGTCTCTCCGATATGCCTGCGTCTTTCTACGCTGGTTCTGTCACGTTGACCTCTCCGCCTCCTAGCGATGTCCCGCTCCCGGCGTTCTTCACGAAGAAAAGTGTCTCGATGTTCAAAGCCGATGACGTCACCAACGATCTGATCAGGATCCTCCGTCTTGAGATCTGACACGATCCAATGAACTACCGCGGGAAACATACGTCCAGTCGACCGTTTATGCCTGAAACTGGCGATCGACAAAACCTCCTCCGGCGAAACTAGAAGATGCAGGACATCTTCGTTACGAATATTTTTCGAATCTTCCCTTATTTTTTCAAGGGGAAGATCGAAATTTCTTCTTAACAGGTCTTAGGTTCTCTTCTAGGGGTTAGAATTTGTTTAGATATGTATCATGCATAGGGCTCTGTCTTTATCCGTCTCTTTCTTTTGGGTTTTCTTAGAGTTTGGGTAAATTATGGGTTGGGTGTGGTATGTTTCTGGGTTGTCATCTCTTGTGTTTCTCGCTTTAGGTCAGTATAATTATGGGTTGGGTATGTTTCTGGGTTTCTATCTCTTGTTTTCGTTTTTTAGGGTTCATAATCTCTGTCAGTATAATGTAGGGGTAGCAATAGAGATGCGTGTGAGTTTACTGAAGATGAATCTGATTTAGGTTCGTATCTGTCAGTTTATCATCATGTCTTCTTTATCTATGTTATCAATGGAACCGTGCTTTTCTATTTTATCAAAGGTCTGGAAATTTATCTGATGCTTTGACTAGATATTGTACCAACTATCAATCGGACAATGATGTTCATGTTCTCTGAAGCAGAACATGACGTTTTTTAGGGTTCATAAGGTTTCGTTTCATGGTGGAAAAGGATCTGAAAACTGAAGCCAACCGAAGAAAACTGAGCTGGGCATCCATTAATCGGTGTAGAAATTGCGTCTTTTTTGTTTTTACATTTCTACGCAGGAGCTTGATTTTGTGCTCCAATGGTATATATATACACACAGATCCTTGCTTTGCCACGAGCGTAAGTGGCTACCCTTCGCTCCACAACTGGAAAGTTCTGTTTGGGCCGTGTTTATTATTTGTATGGGCCTAATGTTGGCCCAATTGGTATAATGGGCCCACTGAGCCGTGTATGTGGTAGTGCCTTCCATCTTCCCCTTTCAAAACCAAATTAGAGAAATACCAAAGTCAACAACTACAATGTTGGTATTAATTTGGTTAATAGTCGAATAATTTAATCGATAAATATAGAATAATATATAGTTGTAATGGGATCTAAATTGATATAAAAACATGATGCTTATGATTTTTTCTTAAAGCTAAAAGTTAACATAAGAACATATTTTTTTAAGAGAAGTATTTTTATCATATCAAAACCTAACAAGTCATTCATATTCATGACCACAAAAAAAAAAAGGTGGATGAAGTAACCTAACACATACAAATCGAATTTAATTTTTCCCCTAATATACAACGGTTTTTAATTCGACATAGGTTTTTGAAACTGAATTATGATTCGGTATTATGCTTCCGTATATTATTTTAATACAATGCTACAATAATATAATTCCAAAATATAGCGGTTTTGAACCTGATCTCTTCTATCAAAATTAAAAACTATAGTTCAGTTTCAGTGACCATTGTGGCGAGGCACACAACCCCTTTCTAACAAACTATATACTATGACAAAAGAAAGATTTTATTAGAACCGAAACAAACCCTAATACCATAAAATTTCATATTATCCCCCAATCTATTATTTTCATTTTACACCTTCAATTATTTGTTTTCTCCAATCATTATTTTTAATTAGGATACAAATGCCCGAAACTAAAAGGTCAAGATTTGATAAAGATGTTTTTTGGGATTTAGGGTTTTTTTCTCCTGAATTTACATTAAGGATTGGAATCTAATACGTGATTTTGAATTTAGGTGTTGTTTTGACTTTTTTTTACCAAAAAGAGTCGGTTTAAAACGTGATTCTCTTTTTCTTTCCTTTTTTTTTCAGGAAAAAACCTATGGGCCAACAATGGTGTTGGGCTTTGGGCCTACACAAAAGCCTACGAAGATTTCTAAATTTTCCCAAGCCGACGCTGCCTGGGTCCCACTTGTCATTAGTCGTATATTTAATCCATTGAAATATGGGAAGAATGCACGCAATCCGAATCTGCGATCCAACCACGAATCCCATCTTAATATTTTCCGTGATATTAATAAAAGAAAAATGCCACAATTAATAGTGATTCCAAAATATAAAATAAATATGAAATTAATAAATAAATAAAACAAGGGAAAAAAAAAGGAAGGGAATTGCCTCGTTATAAGACCAAATGCCCTCTCACCTCCGTCTCGTCTCTCTCTCTCTCTCCGATTTTTTTCAATTTCCTCTCTCCCTCTCTCTCCTCATTTCTCTATCCTCTTCGCTCTCTTTCTCGCTGCTTCTGCATCCTGATTTCTCTTCGACGTCAGCAGAATATTATAGAGGACGCTTCGTTGGCGATGGTAGCAACGATAGACTACTGGGTTACGGCGGCGATAATGGACGACCAAATGGTGGCGGCGCTTCTGTTACGGCTGAAGCAGGCGAAGACGACGGCGGAGAAGAATCCGGAGACGCTCCTGCCTCCGTTAGGATGGGGTATTCGTCAGAAGCGGTCTCGGCCCTCGAGATTCGTCTGCGTCGCCGGAGTTCCGGTGAAGGAGGCGGATTCCGTCAGAGGCAGTCCCGTGACTCCTCTGTCCTGGAGCGGCGGATCCGGCAGCAGCGGAGGCGCTGCCGCAACCGCCGATGGTATCGAGGAGATCAGTCGTCAAGCTAGCTGCTCCACATCAGCAGGATCCGGATCCAAGGTACCTTCTCGTTCTCATCTCTCCCTCGTCTAACTGATACACGCTCCGGGCACCGCGCGTGGTGACAGTCTCAGATCCCTCTCTTTGGTTCCTGGATTTGCTTACGTCGGCTGCTGACAGGGGCAAATCCGTCATATCACCGGTGTTCCCGTTCCGATCTGGCCAATGACCGGGCAGTCCTCGTCGGTCACGTGTTCGCAACTGTGCCGTGGAGGCTCCAAGGATTATTACATAACGGCTTCCCCTAATTTTTATGGAATCCGCTAAATACCCTTTTCTCCTTACATGGTTTCCTTTCCTCGCTTACGCCATCTCTTTTCTAACGCTCCGGTTATCTCCGGTCGTCGACATTTTTTCCGGTTATGGTGCTTTTGACCATAGTATCCTTGTCCATTTCCTGCTAAGATTCTTTCCATCGCCAAAGCACTTCCCATCTGCGAAACGCTGCGTATTCACCGGGCGGTAATATCGCTGGGACCTGCCGCAGGGAATTTTTCTGTCATCTCTCTTAGGGTCGAGGAAAAATACGAATCCATATCATTCATGGTCAAAAGACTCGAATCTTTTGTTTTCCCTTTTAATTCTGTTTGGATTTGTCCTTATTTATTATTACGAGGGTGTTTTCGTCATTCGGCCATCACCGTTCCATTTCTTAATGTTCCGCGGGACCCACGATGCTTCGAGGTTAAATAATTTTTTTTCCTTTTTTTTACGATGGGTCTTTTCAATTATCTAAATCTAGGATCCATGTTGAACCGGTGGTTTTGGTAAATCGGACTCGGTTTACGATCTGTCCGGTTAGCCTAACATATGGCTTTAAATATGCAAATCTGACTAACTTGGGGGGGGGGGGGGTTTCGCAGTGAGTTTGTCTAATTTGCCGATATTTATTTTTGAATGTAACGCCATAGATTATGGTTAGAGATTGTGGGTCAAAGTGCGTGTATGATTCCAGACGAAAACGCTGTCGTATTGGGGTGTTGGTTTGGGGGGAGATAAGTCTTGTCGGTCACGTGATTGTGGGTCACGTGATGTCTTGTGAATGCTGGTTTTATCAATGATGCGGTCCTTGTATTGACTATTGAGTTTGGCTCCTTGAACCCTTTTCTAGAAAATTTTCGAAATTGTTTTAAGCCCGACCTGATATTTGAAGATCTGGGATTTATCTCTGTACCCAGATTTCGTTTTTGCTTTTTGATGGCTTTCTTCTTTTGGAGCCCTTGAAAATTTGGCGTCTTTTTATGTAGGAAATAGAAACTGTCAAAACCCTGCATTTGTTTATAAAGATCTATTCCCTGTCACAGTGATCTGCTTTGCATTTAATATTCCTTAATTCTTTTTCCAAATCCCTGCTTTAATTTCTCGGATATGTTAATCAATGCTTGATTCATGTTTCTTGCAGGCTTTCCCCGCTAATGAAACCACCAGTTCCTTCTCCAAGAGATCAAAGAAAAAGGTGACTTTTTCCTATCCGTATGAACGTTCTTTGTATAATGTTCTTGAAATGGAAAAAATCTCATCTTTGTTCCATTTCCTGATGATTTCAGACTTTTTCGGAACTTAAAGATGAAGAAAACTTCCTGTTGAAGGAAAGATTGAACCTGGAAAAGGTGGTGCATTCTGTATTTTCGTTTCCTCTGAAAGCTTTGTTGAATCATTCCGGATTACGTCACGGTGCATGTTCTGATAAAACCCACGTTCTACAGGAGATAGCGACCATGCGAACGTCTATAGAGGAACAGAGTGAAAAAAATCAAAACTTGAAGAGGATTAAGGTGATGGACTCAACATCTCAAATTTCGCCACTTTGATGATGTTGTTTGTTGGGCGTATCACATGTGATTCTCCGAGAGCTCTGTCTTTTAACTAAATCAAAAGTTTTCGTCCAACTGGTTTCAGGTCGACTTGAACTCAGATCGTGCCAGAAGCGGGATCCGAGATGATCTCATCAGGGAAACGAAAACGATCTCTCCGCGGAAACGCAAGAATTCACCGGTCAAAGAAGAACCCGTCTCAGATTCTTGGAGAGCGGTGAGAAGCTGTTCTTCTGACGGAGGCGTCTTCGTGCTTCCTGATCTGAACATGACGCCGTCCGAGGATGATGTCCGCATGGAGACGTTGTACGGCACGATCCAATTACAACATTGTCAGAACACTTAGCATCTCGCTCATGTTAGTCCGCAGAGATTGCCAGGTACCAATAATCACCCCGAGAACGCAGTAGAAAAATCTAATGAGAGCTCTCCTCTCTCTCTCTCTCTCTCTCTCTCTCTCTCTCTCTCTCTCTCTCTCGTCATGTGTAGAGTCTTTCTTACCATTTTCTAGCTTTTGTATTTGCCCGGGGGCATACATAGACGCTGGGTGGTGGTACTTCTTGTTTTTGTGAGAAGTGCGTGGAAATTAGGGTCTTCTCTCCTTATTCTTCTTTAATACGTTGTAGTGTAGTTAGGGAAGTCGGAGGACAACTAATGTTAGACTTTTCTTTTTTTATAATAATCATCGTTTTAAATTCAATTGTTTCCAACGCGAATTAAAAACTTAGTCAATGCATCTACTTGTTTTTGTGTACGCATGTACGGAAAGAACAAAAATTGGTAAGTGGGTTTTTTGTTGGTGCGTGTTTATAGTTTTGATTAGAGATTGGAATGGTTGGATGATAATTCTGCAAAATTATAACGATTTAGGTGTTGCATCGAAAGTTGAAATGTTATTCATAAATCCAATTTCAATGAAAATATATTTGTTTCTGGGAAAAAAAGGGTGGGGTAGCAAATTATTTGTAATAGTATATACAATACATGGACCCAACATATAGTAGATACATAAATAGACCCAACAATTATATCATCTCTCTTTCAATTGTTTTATTCGTCCTCGGGGTGGACATCGGTCGATTACCTACGTTTTTGGAGATATTCGTCTTCGTTTTCGTCTTCGCGGGTTTTAAAAAAATGTTATCTCTGTCTCTTTTTCGCAATATCCAAATACTCATTAGACGGGTATTTGTGACTAAATGACGGCTACTAGCGAAGACATGTCATTTAGAAATATAAGAGGCAATTTCGTATGCTAAAAAAAATTAAAATAATTTACTAATTTTTAAGAAATATAAAGCATATTTGTAATCATGTGAAATCGTGAAAACCGATCAGAATGCGATTTAAGTATGATCTTGATTTAAATTCAAATTATTAGTGAGTTCAATTTTTCAAACCGTACCTAATCATGCGATGACGATGATAATGTTAAGTAGAAATATTTTATTTATAAAAAAAATAAACGAGAGAGAGAGAAATGGAACAACACGTCTTGTGACTTGTGAGGCAGAAAGTTAATGGGAGGGGTCGGGGAAGTCAGCACTCTTTATGACACGCTTTGCTCTTGTCCGCTTTCGGCTGTCCCTTCGTTATTCATCCCAATTAAAAAACAAATGAAAATAAAAAGAAAAAGGCTGATTTTATATAAATATATTCATTTCGATCTGATATATATATATATATATAATTTTTAATAGTTAGGGTTTTAAAAATAATGCAGTTAGGGGTCTATGGTACATTTTTAGTTTTCTAAATTTGAACTGAATTATCGGATTTCATTATCATCTATTAAATTATATAATTGAATATCTCTTTTTTACTGATATCTTTTGTGTTTATATACTGCATACGTACAACTCTCGTGTCCTCAACTGGTGAAACGGGAGTGCAAATCACTTGTCCCGCTCCAAGTTCGAGCTCCAGGGTGGGGAGGGGAACGAATATTTCAAAGCACATGGCTTACTCCCGGTCCGAAGATTAGTCTGGGCTTCGGCCCAGAACGCTCCGTTATAAATAAAAAAAAACTCTCGTGTCATATAAACCTGTGATTTCTTTTGATCACATTCTCTAAAAATATAAATATAATTTTCGTTAAATATGCTTCAAATCATACGCTTGAAATTATAATATTCGTTTACTCCTAGCAACTTTATGTAATTCAAGATGAAAACCTAGTGTGAGAAAGTTAAGTTAATTGCTAGTTTTAATATTCGCAAAATAAATGTCATACAATATATTTTATTTTATTTTTTCTCTAAATGCGTCGTTCATATGTAAAATTAAACACACGTAATTTTTGGCTTTTTTTCTCATCTTTTTGTTCCCCGAATTTCCCTTTTACTTTTGGCACTGAATATGAGAGCCGAAAGCTTTTCTATGCATTTGTATGAAGATTATTATTATAAAAAATCATTAATGTTTCGCACTATATTTATAGGATATAAATCTTAATTACCACGTATTCATTATGGAGAGAAAAAAATGTGATTCGTATTTCTACTGTCCTTAATGCACATTCCAAATACGATTGTTGTAAAAAATAAAAATAAAGTTACGAACTTACGAATTTTCATATAACCATTAGCCAAATACAAGAATTCAATTGTGAAATTTATGTAATAATGTCAAATTGACTGACCAACCAAAGGAAATCGTTTAACCATATTTTTATTGCTTTTCTAGAATGCTTAACCTTTGATGAATTTTGGGCCCTTTACTCGTGCTTAGCTTTAATTGCATTATTATTATCTCGTGTCATATAAATCTGTGATTTCTTTTGTTTAAAAAAAAAAATCTTTACTTTTAATATTTACCAATGATTTTACCCCAAAAAAACTTTATAATTTACGGATTATTTTGTATCATAATATTTTAGAATAACCTTGTCATCCTGTCTCATTACCATGACTGCCCTTTAATTCCAACTATTAGTTGACAAAATAAAATATTATCTTTTATTCAATAACTATAACCTAATTACTAAATATTAATCTATCAACTAAAAAATTTAAGATTTTAATTCTAAAAATATCATAAATATAAAAAAGCTAAATAATTATAAGAAAATTATTTTTTTTATAACTACATCCACTATAATCCCGAGATCAACTTTTGTATATGAATCATTTTAATTCACCAATTATATTTCTCCACGTCAATGAAAATTAAAATTTGTCCTATTCCGTAAAGAAAAAGATTAACCTACCTACAAACCTATGTTAAAAACGAAGTTTAACACCAAACATATTCATGACTTGAATTTTTTATTTCATGAATTGCTGAAATTAAAATTTCACTCTACGAGATAAAACAAAAAAAAACTCTCACGGCTAAAACTGCAATTGGGGTTGGGGGAGACAAATTCAATGGTAAAAAAGAAACAAATAAATGACAGAGAACAATATTGTTTTATTATTATTATTATTATTTTATTTTCTTGATATATAAGGCTTTGGTGTGCGTTTGGTCGGACCACAGACAAATATGTTTGCTTAGCGACAAAGATATCATACGGTGCCCGACATCTAACAACTATGTACCGTCACATGTCCACCGTCGGATTCGTTTTCAACTACCGGCCCGAACAACAGATCAACGGTCAGAACTAGTCCAACATTCACAGAGTAAATGGGTAATAATATAGTGCTTCATAATAATAATAAATTAAGATTTAAATTATCGCGCAAGGAATTTTTGTAGCGGTTGAAGCTTTATATACATGCTCCTAACTAATATTTGGACGAACAACATTATATTTGTATTATTTTTAAAAGTGGGTAAAGAAATGTGCAAAAAAAAATTCCAATAATCTGCCAGAATATTTTTTTGTATAGATCTTATAATTATATGATTACCTGATAAAACAAATCAAATTATATAAAGGATTGTAGTATATAGTTTTTTCTATAAAAAATAATAAATTAAATGTATCACGAATTTCGAGTGTAGAGAAACCCAAAAAAATTAGTTTCAGAAGGTGATAAAGAAAAAAATATGGTTTAATTTTCACCAAAATAAAAATATGTCTTAGGAGTGTAAATAAAATAAAACAAATACGATTAACAGCATGCCAAGTGGATGCTATATATACACATATATTATAAAATATATATATATATATATATATATATATATATATATAAAGACACAATGCACAAAGCAAATGATAAAACAAAAACAAAAAGGTCACTTTATTCTCTCTCGGACCATCAAAACGCAAGAAAACCATGTCGTTTAGTGGCTCCGACCTTCCTCCACAAGAAGACCTCCCTCTCCGACACTTCTCCCCGCCCCCCCACCCGCCGTTCTGACTGGCAGACGGTGGCTCACTGACCAGACTGAGACTCAAAATTCCGACGGAGGAGCCGTCGTCGATGGAGTCAACGCCGGTTCGGATACGTTCTCCGGCGGCGGCGGAGACGATTGGCGGAGCGCGAGTTACAAGGCGGAGATTCTGGGACACCCGATGTACGAGCAGCTTCTGGCGGCGCACGTGGCGTGCCTGAGGATCGCGACTCCGGTGGACCAGCTGCAGAGGATCGACGCCCAGCTCGGACAGTCTGACGCCGTCGCGGCCAAGTACTCCGGTCTCTGCAAGTCCCGTGGTGTGTGTCTGGAGAACAAGGAGCTGGATCACTTCATGGTGAGTTTGGAGAAATTTCTCATCTTTTTCTATTTCCTTGTATGGAAATTTCGAATTTTTATAATACCCTTTTCGGAGGAATCCAAGCCCTTTTCACGGGTTCGTTTGAAATTTCGAAATTTCATCGTATTCGCCGTAGATTTCATTAGGTTTCATAAGTCTTTAGCAGATATTTCTGGGTGGGATTTTGCGAGGATGATGGGTTTTGAGATATCTGGAGTTTCAAGTTGGTAAATTTCTGGTTTAGTTCTTAAAAGTGCGGCACTTTCACCTTCGTTTTGGTAAAACAACTTCAGATACGTTCACACGAATTCTGCATCTTGTTTTAACTACTCAGCTTGTTGTCGTTCTGGTTCCATGGTTGAATATCTGAGTTGAATCAGATAGAAAACCGTACACTCTGTTTTAAAATAACAGGATACTATTACATGATGCCATTGAAGCTAGAGAATTCTATCCTCGAACTGATAAAATCTTATTTGGATTCAGATGAAGAAGCGTTTCCAATGTTGATGTTGTTAGGGATGATTCCTTGTTGTGTGTCTCTGTCGTGTTGTGTTTATAGATCATAATCATCTCGACATTGTTTGATGACAATACAGACGCATTATGTCTTGCTGTTATGTTCGTTCAAAGAACAACTTCAGCACCATGTCCGTGTCCATGCAATGGAAGCCGTCATGGCGTGTTGGGAAATCGAGCAATCTCTTCAAAGCCTCACTGGTAGTATAAACAAATCTCAACGACATCCTTTTCCTTGTTTCTATCCTCTCTCTTATCGGGTTTTCTTCTAAGGTTTAGGAGCTTCTGCTGGTGAAAGTAATGGCACGACAATGTCAGATGATGAAGACGATGATCAGGTAGAGAGCGAAGTAAACCCGTATGATGTAAATTCGGACAGCCCGGATTGCTTGACGGGGTTCGGTCCTCTTGTTCCAACCGAGCGCGAAAGATCCTTGATGGAACGTGTGAGGCAAGAACTGAAACATGAACTTAAACAGGTATCTCGGGTCGGAGATTATATTTGAGAAATACTATCTAAAATTGTATAGAAACTAAACAAAAAACCCTTTTTTTTAGGGATTCAAAGAGAAGATCGTAGACATAAGAGAAGAGATTTTGAGGAAGAGAAGAGCGGGAAAGCTCCCGGGAGATACAACGTCCGTACTCAAGGCATGGTGGCAAGCTCACTCCAAATGGCCATACCCGACTGTAAGAATCCTCGGCTTACGAAACTCTCGAGTTTGACGGGTAAGAGATTCTGAATCCATCTTAAGGGTTTGAATTGATTTTGCAGGAGGAAGACAAGGCAAAACTGGTTCAAGAAACCGGTCTGCAGTTGAAACAGATCAACAACTGGTTCATCAATCAGAGGAAGAGGAACTGGCACAGCAACTCGCCCTCTTCTTCTGCTCTCTCCAAGAACAAACGCAGAAAGTAAACAAGAAAGTGTTCACTATACAATCCTTATAGTTTCTGTTCGGTTTCGGATAAACCGGTTCAAGGTATGTTCTCTCTTAACCGAATTCGGAACCGTAAGTTGCAGATGAAATCCGGCGAAGGACGTGGATGCTCTCTGGAATGTGATTATACCAATACAATTTTAAACCCGGTTGTGTAGAGTTGCATCATATAAACCGGGCTGTGGAACATGTAGATTGCTTGCTGTACCGGCCTTAACCGATCTTTATACATATATATATATATACATATATATATATATATATATATATATATATATATTAATAGCATAGTTCTGGGGTTTGCTCAGTGTTTTACATATATGTACCGATCTGTATATATATCGTCGATTATATGTATTTCTATAGAATAGGAAAGCGAATCCTGTTTTCTGTTAACCGGTCTTCGAAGTTTTGTATCCGGTTTTGTACTTGAGACCAATGCTTTGAACCTACTTTCAATTTCTGTCCGGTTCAAGTCACACTGGGTTGGAACGCGTTTAAAAAGCCTTCTGAACCGGAAATCCTGGATGAATACCGGAGAATATGAGGAACTGGCATGATCTTCACCTTATTAGATATGCATGACAAATAGTGATGAAATAAAAAACCGAAAAATCTCTTTAAAAAATAAGTATTTTTTCGATAAAAACCGAAACTAAAATTAAACTGAATCCAAACCGAAATCTGAAATGACCGAAGAACCCTTGAAGCTGTGTGAGAAAACTCTGCGTCTTGTAATGTTAAGAGATAGAGATCACAGAATCTACAAAACTAGCAAACACAGATAAGCGAACTGAATGAATCTTGATTATATATAATCTCATGAGGGATGCCAGTTGGGGATATTAGCCGTAGCTTCGTTCACCATTTTCACCAACGTCACCTGCAATATCATCATGAACGATCTTTCACCAGAAAAACATGTCCTAACCAAGGAATTAATAACGAATATAAGATCGAAGACGAGTTTTATCTATAAAAAGACATAATTAACATACCACGCTCTCGGGAACTCCGGGCGGTGGCAATGTCAGGTTCCTCGGGGGCGGCTCGTTGCCATAAGATCGTTTGTCGAATCTCCATTCCCCGATCTTTCCAGGCGTCATGTTTCCCTGTCCAATCGAAGCCATATAAGATGATGTCTTCAATCAAACTAGCTAGGGTTTCTCATTGTACGTAATATGATCGATTAAAACTGGATTGAGATCTTTTACCTTTCTGTCGAAATCGCATCCGTATGTGTAATGGATAATGTAAGTCTTTCCAACTTCGGCGTCCCAAGGAGGCTACAGACCAAACACCACAAAAACCATTTCGTTGCAAGACAAAAGAGTATATATTTAGGGTTTAATTAAGGTTAATTAGGGTACGGAATTTAATTATGATGTAAGATCTCGAGAACCTGAATCATGAAGTCTTTACGTAGAATGTTACTAACACCATGCAACGCCGAAGAAACAGCATAAGCATACCTATATATAATCATCATCGATCAAATTAAACATCATGTTCTTGATCATATAATGTTTTTCATCATCATATCCCGAATTCTTGTGCTAAATATATATTAGATCGGAAG